CGGGTCTCGAACCTGCGGGCTCAGGCAATCCACTCACCTCAGCCTCCCAAAGCGCTGGGATTACAGGCTGAGCCACCAAGCCCAGCTTATCTTACTATTAATTACTGTTTAATCCAGTGAATCTATGTAACCACATCCTGAGACAGTTTCCTTGTTTTAGACTTGATACTGACGTATAGTAGACAGATGAATACACACGAGTGTACAGCTCATTACATTTTTACAAACTGTGCACACTTATGTAACCAGCACCCAGGTTAAGGAACAACCTATCAGCTACTCCAGATGTCCCCCTTTTGAGATGGGGTCTCACTCTGTCAGCCATGCTGGAGTGCAGTGGCATAATCATGGCTCACTGCAGCTTCAACCTCCTGAGTCCTCAGCCTCCTGAGTAGCTGGGACGATAGGTGCATGCCACCAGGCCTGGCTAATTTTTTGACTTTTTTGTAGAGACAAGATCTTGTTATGTTGCCCAGGCTGGTCTTGGTCCTCCTGCCTTGGCCTCCCAAAGCGCTGGGATTACAGGCATGAGCCATCATGCTTCACCAAGAAATGACCTTTTTTTCATGGAATTTTGCTTCCCTTAGGTTGCATTACTTCACAATAAGCCATCATAGCTACGGCAACAAAATTTACAGAACAGGTCGGGCTCGGTGGCTCAGCCTGCAATGCCAGCACTTTGGGAGGCCGAAGCGAGTGAATTGTCTGCACCCACGGTTTCGAGACCCACCCGGGCTACTTGGCTAAACCTCGTCTCTACAATAGTAGCGTGTGCCTGTAGTTCCGGCTACTTGGAAGACTGAGGCGAAAGGATCGCCGGAGCCCAGCAGGTCAAGGCTGCGGTGGCCGGGAGTATGCCATTACCCTCCAGCCTGGGTGACAGAGTGAGACTCCAACTCAAAAAACAAAAAACAAAATTTACAGAATAGTTATCCTGTGCTAGGCACGGTGCTAAACTCTTTACAGGCTATCTTGTTTAATCCTGACCACAACCCTAGGAGGTAGGTGAGTATCCTCATTCCACAGGTGAAAAAGTGGAGACTTAGAGGAAAGGTTTAGTAAGTAACTTGTCCAGCAACTGTTGCTTAACCTCAGTTCTTGAAGCCAGTTAACTTCACTATGAGAAATATCTAATAGGAACAAATGGATAACAACAAAACACTAAAATAAAAATAATAAGTTAGTTACAATTTTTAGTCTTCTCCCTAGCTTATATCAGGACTATCTATGACTGTAATTGGTCCCTCCTTGCTTGTGACCAGCAGTTGCCCTTCCTGGCTCTTTATCTCTGATGGGGACCCTGTCTCATAATCAGGGTGTTCAACAGGGGCCTTGTGTCCTGCGCTGGTTGTACCCACAGTATCTCACAGCCAGCCCTGGAGATTTTCAAATAAAGGGCCATTCTAACTCCCTGCAAATCTTTGTTTTTGTTTGTGGGGGTGGGGTGGGTTTTTTTTTTTTTTTTGTATTTTGTTTTTGAGTTGGGATTTCACTCTGTCGTCCAGGCTGGAGTGCAGTGGCATGATCACAGGTCTCCACAGCCTTGACTCCTGGGCTCAAGCAATACTTATACCTCAGCCTCCTGAGTAGCCAGGACTATAGGCATGTGCCACCACGCCCAGCTAAGTTTTTTATTTTTTGTAGAGATGTAGTCTTGCTATGTTGCCCTGGCCGGTTTCAAACTTCTGGACTCAAGCAAACCTTCTGCCTCAGCCTCCCAAAGTGCTGGAATTATAAGCATGAGCCATTACACCTGGCCAGATCTTTGGATAAAATATTAGTCTTTCTTTTTTCACCCTCTTGATAAAATATCCCAAGGTCACAGGAGAAGTGGAAATAGAATTGTGTGGGTGATGGTGAGATTTTGAAAGCAGAATATTTCAGAGCCTGGTTGAGAGGAAGACCTGTGGCTAATTTCCTTTGGCTTGCCACGCCTTCATGCAATTGAGCTCATGCCTTTGGCATCACGCATCTGAGCACAGATTCTGGGGCCCACCTGTCCCAGTATCTGACTCCTGCTCATTCTCCCTAGTGTCCCAACTCAGACTTCCATTCGTTCACAGACCAGAGGCAGCTGTGGAAGAACTACTTGCTTCAGTGAAACACTTTGCCTGAGTCCCTCATAGCTCACAGGCTATGTCAGACGTGTAAAGGCAGAGCTGTTCTGGTGACAGGAGGGTGGGACCCCAAAGCTTGCTCCTGTGTTGGTCCTTTACCCCCTCACTAGTCCCTGAGGCAGCTCTGCAATTTCTGGACTGGTCCAAGGAGTGGTTTGAAAGCTAAATGTGTGTATAGGCCAAGAGTGCAGGCCCAAGTGTCCACATTAACCTCAGATCAGAGGGACAGACGGAATTGCCATGGCCCAGCCTAGCAACTGGCACTCTGGAGAGCCCCTCCTGTCATCCTGCCCTTCCCACCATCTCATCACAGACTGCCTTGAATTTGGACCTTTCATGTGTTAAATATGGAATGAGACCGTTGCAGGTTTCCAGGATTCCTTGTCAGAACCAAACCAGATAAAATGTGTAAGGTGGCTCTTACATTAAGTGGTTTCCTTCCCCCTTCTCCTGAGGCTGCAGTTTCTTCCATCCTGGGTTCTCCCAGCCCCTCTCTAGTATTTCTTTTTTCTTTTTTTTTTTTTTGAATTGGAGTCTCACTCTGTCACCCAGGCTGGAGGGCAGTGGCACACTTCCGGCCACCGCAGCCTCGACATGCTGGGCTCAGGCGATTCTTCCGCCTCAGCCTTCCAAGTAGCTGGAACTACAGGCACACACCACCATACTCGGCTAATTTTTTTATTTATTGTAGAGACGAGGTTTCACCAAATTGCCCAGGCTGGTTTTGAACCCCTGGGCTCAGCAATCCTCTCGCCTCCACCTCCCAAAGTGCTGGGATTACAGGCTTGAGCCACTGCGCCTGCCCTATCCTCTCTAGTGTTTCTACCAAGTGATTTCCTTTGAACACAACGTCCAATCTAGTGCTTATCCTGTAGTGAAGTTTGAGTTGTTCATGGCAGCATTTTAGAAAATGCATCGCTTCTTTTTTTTTTTTGGTAGTGTGCACCTGTAGTTCCAGCTACTTGTTAGGCTGTCGCTTTTTTTCTACCGCCACTCACCGCCCGGTGCTTGGCCCAATGTAGGTGCTCCTCGGTTGGTTGTTGAATGAATAAATGGCAGTGATGTTCGCCTTGAGTGGCCCAGGAATGTGCACACAGGAAATAAAGAAGTTGTGTGTGTGCTGGGTGAGGGGGAAGATCATAGTGGTGCAGCATTACCAGACTGGCAATCATGCCAGAGCAAAGTACCTGAAGTAGCAGAAAACCAGCTGGGCACGGTAGTTCATGCCTGTAATCCCAGCACTTTGGGAGGCGGTAAGCGAAAGGACTGCCTTAGCCCATGGGTTCGAGACCAACCTGTGCAACATGTCGAGACCTCTCCCTATAATAAATAAATTAGCTGGGCGTGGCGGCGCATGCCTGTATTTCCAGCTACTTGGAAGGCTGAGGCAGAAGGATCGCCTGAGCCCAACAGGTCGAGTCTGCGGTGGCCGTGAGCGTGCCACTGCACTCCAGCCTGGGCGACAGAGTGAGACTCCGACTCAAAAAAAAAAAAAAAAAAAAGTATTAGAGAACCTTAATTGGAGTCCCAGCTCCTTAATAACAGAGAGACCTCAGACTCAAGCCTCCTCAGTTTACTCAACTGTATAATCGGCATACACAGGGATTAACAGGGTTAAACAGCCGCCCTCGGCCCTCCGTGAAAATGCTTGGTAAAAGGCTGTCTTGCTCAATGCCCCCAGGGCCGCGCGGGACGAGATGTCTCCACCGCTCCTGGGAGGCAGAAGGCACCCCCTCCGCAGGCAGCGAGTTCTAGCCGCGTCTCTGGACGCTCCCACTCCTCTACAGAATGTAGGAAAGTCCTACCAATGAATCGTCTGAAACAAGCAGGCGCCTGAGTCTTCCTTGTATCTTATTGGTTAATGCTGCTGTCTGTCTAAGCGCGGAGGTCTGTGGGAAATGTAGTTCGGATGACTACCGAGGGCTTCCGGTTCTAGGGTTTCCGTTTCAGGTGTTCAGCGAACGTCGGAACACCCGGGTTTGCGGTCTGGGCTCGGGGTTCGAGGGTGGTGTGGGGACGTTGCGTGGCCGCGGAGGAGGTGCCGCAAGGCCTGGTCGTCGTTATTCGCAGGGCTTTGGCGGGCGGGAGCGGCTCTCACCTCGGGCCTGGGCTCCCGCCGCCTCGGGCCCAGGCCCCGCCGCCCCGCAAGCAGCTCCTCGTGCTGGCGACGCCCCCCTTCCCGGTGCCCATGGAGCCTGATGGGCGCCCCAGTCACCAGGTCCCGCGTTTGTCCCACAAAGCTTCCAGAGAAGGTCGCCCGCGGAGCAGAGTAGCCTTCCAGCGTAAGTCACGCTCTGCTGGCGAGTCATTCAGTCTAGGGTCACAGTTTTGAGCCACTGCTTATTTTCCTGCCATAAACCAGCAAGCTGACCTTGAGCAAGTCCCTGGAGGTCTACACGATTGCTTCAGCTCTGAGAGTTGAAGCCAGAGTACCTCAACTTTTTTTCCAACTCTGGCATCCTGTGGGTCTGCTTTTATCATCCTTGCTCTTAAAGCTTGTAACTAGGGTAAATTTCCCTGCTTGGGAGAGAGTTACGATGCCAGGGCTTGGGACTCCTGAACGCCCCTCCCTCCCCGGGGGGGCGACTGAGAACCAAACCAGAAGAGAGGGCAGTTGAGCGGAAGTACTTGAATCTCTGAAATGTAAGACCGGCTCGTCCCGGTGCTGCTCTCCAAGGTGCTGCTACCTGTGTGCCTTCTCAGACTTGTATTGTGCAACACTTGATAGTTCTGAAGACCAGTGACTTGGGAGGGTAGGCAATTCATTGTCCCATATATAATTTCCATTGCATTCCTCGGTGAATAATTGGCGTTTTCTCAGCCTTCAGTTAATTGTTATGCAAGCACAACCTCAAGCTCCTTTACTTTCCAGCCATATCACCAACTCTTGACCCCTCTTATCACACTTCTGGAGCTGCTGCCTTAATGACAGAGGCCCAGCTTCTACAAGCATCAGGGTATAGAAGGGGTGGGGGCAGGAAGACTCTGTACCTCAGCCCTGCTGGGCTAACACTTGTGATTTTCACTTGTGATTTTCACTTTGTAATGTATGTCTCTGGCTCTAGAATTTCAAGAGAAGCTCCACTTAGTGACTCGTAATTGAAGATGGCTTCCCAGTGAGGTGGTAGAAGAGGCTTGAGCTTCGGAGTGTAGTTGCAAGGTTCTTTGAGCAGAACAATGACTGTAGCTGTTGACCAACAAATTCAGACCCCTCGAGTACAAGATCTTCAGATAGTGAAACTGGAAGAAGATTCCCTTCAGGAGCAGGATATTTCCCTTCAAGAGAATGAGTCTGGACCAGAGACACCCTGCCAAAGCTTTTGACATTTCCACTATCAAGAAGACCCCCGGAGGCCCTTATCTAGTGCTGTACGTTCTGTCGTCAGTGGCTGAGACCAGAGAAGTGTACGAAAGAACAGATCCTGGAGTTGCTAGTCCTTGAACGGTTCCTGATTGTCCTTCCCCGGGAGATCCAGATCTGGGTTAGACAGCAGCATCCAGAGAGTGGAGAGGAGGCAGTAGCCCTGGTGGAAGACTTGCAGAAAGCACCTGGAAGACAGGGCCTGCAGGTGAGATATGAGAATTCGTTCTGAGTCATAAAAATAGAGGAATGTGAGAGACAGAGTCACCTTGAGTTGCCGACAGTGTGGGTGGTGTGTAGTACTTTGCTATTTGTGTTAAACTGGAATGTGCTTATTTCGTGGTCTGGTAGCAGCTACTTTCCTTCCGGTTTCTGGCTGACTCTTCAGAAAGTGCACAACACTGGCTGAGTGTTGGTTTCTGCCATTAAATGAGAACATTGCATAAAATGGCTTGAGCATCACTGATCAAGGAGGAGCACATCTGACAGAGATCTCTTTTTGGAGAGCAACTCTCATTGGGCAGCCGCCTGTCAGAAGGCTAGGGACTTCAGTGGTCTTTACTGACATTACTGAACCTATTGCAAAATAGCTGAATTATTGGTTGGTCCTCTGTGTTTTGCCTAGGGGTTGGCAGGGCAGGTAGGAATGGCCCCAGGAGAGCTGGGTGGCCAGACTGCCGTGGGTGAGTTCCAGGCCTTGTCTCCATGAAGTCTTCCTAGTCCATACTCTTTCATTTATTTATTTATTTGAGTCAGGGTTGCCTAGACTGGAGTGCAGTGGCATGATCACGATGATCACTGCTCATGGCAGTCTCAACCTCCTGGACTTAGGCCATCCTTCCACCTCAACATACTGAGTAGCTGGGATTACAGGCACATGCCACCACACCTGGCTAATTTTTTAATATTTTGTAGAGATGAAGTTTTGCTCTGTTGCCCAAGCTGTTCTGGAACTTCTGGGCTCAAGCAATCCTCCTGCCTCAGCCTTCCAAAGTGCTGGGATTACAGGCACCAGCCACTGTGCCTGGCCCATCCACACTCTTTACTGCTGCTGCAGGGACTTGTGTAAAACCAGCTTTCTCCTTTGCTTCTTTGTGTCTTGGGATGTTTAAGTTTTAGTTCATACAGAATTTTGACCACTTCCAATCCTTAAATATGGATAGGTATGCTCTCAGAGAAGAAGGCACCCTCAGGATCATTACTGAGTCCTCTAAACATCCATCTAAAACAAGCACAGACAGAATGTGTGTCTGTTCCAGGCGGTGGTGAAGAGCTCACAGCCAGAACCAGAGGAACAGTTGAACTGCAGCCCCAAAGTAGAACTCCAAATCTTCCACAAGAGCGGTAAGAAAGAGCAGTGTGGGGAGAAGGGAGGGGCCTTCTGCAGCGGGCAGAGAAGTACCCTCTGCATGCAGACAGTGGTACCACCCCCTTCCACTTGGTGATATGGCCTGTGGACTGAGGCTGACCATGTGAATCTGTGAGACTAAATAGGTGCCTCCAAAGATAGGAAGGACCTTGGTTGGCATGTTTGTAAAACAACATAGGGGGGCCCACGGCACCTTTCTTTACGTGAGAGATGACAGGTAGGTTATAGGTAGAGATAGATTTCAGGTTTGGTTGGTGGGAAAGGGGCAAGATAGGGTTAAACTAGAATGCAGTAATCCTTACACAGTTAAGTGTCCCCAGACCAATTCAGATGACTCAAGTGTGTTATCAAAACAGAAAAACAAAAGCATAACACCTGACAGTACCTGGGTGGATATGGAAGGGAACATCTAGACTCTCATCTTGGAAATGTATCATCTGGTTTTCACCACTCCTCCTTTAATAGGACAGAGCAGCTGCTGAGAGAAGGAGAAAGTCCAAGAGAAGTTGAGAACCATGTACCCTAATGACTCCTTCTCTTCCTCCAGCCCTGCCTGATCCTCGGGCTCTGCACATTTCTTCAGAGAAGAGCAGTGGTCACCAGGGGACGACAAGCAGCTCCCAGGTGAGTCAGACTCTTTTCTTACTCTTCTTACTCAGATCACCTTTTACTACTTGAGTGGGGGGGGGGCTCTGCATCCCAAAAGGAATTTTACGCAGCAGGGAGGCCCAGCACCTTCACAATTTAGCCTCCAAAATGTCATCAACCTGCAAGAGGGTGCCCAAATCCCTTACCTATATAAGGCAGTGCTGCAGCTATGGTAACAGGGAACTGTGATAAAATTCTTCTTTTCCTTGACCCAGAAATTGTTAGATTATACTGATATGTTTGTTTGCCTTAAGGTACTGGTTACTTCCTTCATCCTTTTTATGGAGTTTTCTCTCATGGCATGTGGTGTTGAGTAGTAGGAGAAAAACAAATACCAAAAGCTTCAGAGTCAGACAGCCCTGAGTTCAAATCCCAGCATCATACCCTGCACAACTGTGCAACTCTGAGCAAGCATGAAAAACTTCTGGCTCAGTACATAGGTGTTCAGGAAATGGCAGCTTGTTTCTTCTTTTCTTCCTCACCTCTTATTCCCTCCTTTCTCCTTGATTGCACTTACAAGCCAAAGATAACTCAACTTTTAGTTTCTTCTAAGTCTGTTTTGTCACTTGCCCTCTGACTCAGGCATTATAGAGGCATTTTGTTCCAGGGCCATGTGTTTTGAGAAAGGGTGTTATGTTTCTTCAGGAGCTAGTGACATTTGGTGAAGTAGCCATGTATATCTCCCTGGAGGCACAGAGGCAACAGGAACCTGGACAGAAGAACCACCTAGAAGTAACTTGGCAGGATTCTGCAAATGGGCTCTCACTAGGTAAGAATGCCTTTTTTCTTTACAGTCAAAATTAGCTGTGGAGTTTCTGTAGTATTCACTACTTACCATTTTAGGGTTTAATTTTTCAAATCCACTCCTTCCTTCAATCTCTCTTGAAAGAAATAATAGAAATCTAATACCATAGTCAGTGTGACCAAGGATGAATTTATTTATTTCTTCCTTTCCTTTTCTTCCTTCCCCTCCTTCCCTTCCCTCCCTCCCTCTCTCCTTCTCTCTTTCTCTCTTCCTCTCTCTTTCTCTCTCTCTCTCTCTCTCTCTCTGTCTCTTTCTTTCTGGACCCACTGCCACCCAGGCTGGAATGCAGTGGCACAGTCATACCTCACTGCAGCCTTCAAATCCTGGGTTAAAGCAATCTTCCTGCCTCAGCCTCCTGAGTAGCTAGGACTACAGGCACATGCCACCATGCCCATCCTAATTAAAAAAAATTTTTTTGTAGAGACTGGATCTTACTGCATTGCTCAGGTTGGTCACAAACTCCTGGCCTCAAGTGATCCTTGTGCCTCAGCCTCCCAAAGCATTTAGGAATACAGGCATGAACCACCGTGCCTGGCCAACGATGAGATTCTTGAGCCTAGAAAGGATATTAGATTGAAAGCTCATCTTAGAGAGATGGTCCATTTAGACATGTACCTAAATTTTATTTGTTACAAGATAGATGAACATGGATATACATAGTTATGGATTTGGGCCTGAATTTTTTTCTTATTATTCCTTCACAGTCCTTAATATTATTTTCACTGAGCTTTACCAAGAATTCTCCTAGACTTTAAGAAAAAATTACTATCTCTTCTCCCTGGCTTATCAAATGGTTGAGATTAGATTCACCAAACCATTACATCTTCTGTTTGTCTCCCTGCAAACAGATTTTCCAATCCATAAGCCCAGTGTGAGCTCCCATGTGGAACAGGATGAAAAGCCACAGAGCCCAGATCTTCAACACACCAGAGAAAAGGAGAGTGTGGGAGACTGCTCGGGAACAGGGGGTGTGGGGTGTGGGGGTGACAGTCAAGCCTGGCCAGGTGCAAACCTGGAGAAAAGCCAAGACCTGGGATGAGCTGGAATGCCAGGGCCTGGAGGACGAGAAGGTGGCAGGGGTGCACTGGAGCTACGAAGAAACCAAGATTTTCTGGGAATTGTGAGTCCTGGATCCATGAGAAGCTCCGCACCTGCCACCGGAACCACCAGGTGTACTGGATTGTGGCTGAGTGACTGCGAGAGCGTGGCTTCTTGTGGACCCTGGAGCAGTGTTGCTACCTGCAGACCAACTATTGCAAAGCCAGGAGCACCCACATGCCAGGCACCTGTGCCTTCTATGATGAAATGGATGCTCTGATGAATCCCTGGGCCCTTCCAACACCTTTGATGCCTTAGAAGTGGCAGGAGACCTTCTTTGGAATAGAGAGAACACAAAAGGGAACCAAGATACAGCACCAGAAAGTGTGACTGGGGATGGGAATGAAATGGCAGAGGAGTCCCAAGTGGAGCCCAGAAGCCTTGGTCCCCAGGCGATGAGGGGGAATGCCAGTGATAAGCTCTCCTATCCAGTGTACCTCAGAGCAGTGGGCAAGATGGAGTCCTGTGGGAATCAGGGAGACACAATTTTTTGTTTTTTGTTTTTGAGTTGGAGTCTTACTCTGTTGCCCAGGCTGGAGTGCCATGGCATGCTCATGACCACCGCAGCCTCAACCTGCTGGTCTCAGGTGATTCTTCAGCCTCAGCCTTCCAAGTAGCTGGAACTATAGGTACATGCTATCATGCCCGGCTAGTTTTTGTATTTATTGTAGAGGCGAGGTCTCACCAAGTTGCCTGGGCTGATCTCGGACCTGTGGGCTCAGGCAATTCACTCGCCTCAGCCTCCCAAAGTGCTGAGATTACAGGCTGAGCCACTGAGCCCGGCCGGGGAGACAGAATTATTATGCTGGCTCTGCTGTGACTGATATGTATCTGGAATGGCCTCATCGGGGGAAATTGGTGAAAACTTTGGGGAAACACTGTTTAGTTCCTCCCTTTAAATACTGCTTGACTCAACCCTCCACTGAACCAGTAGCCCAGGGTGGCTTACAAAAGCCATTTTGAGGCTCCTGCTCTGCTTTGTAATGCAGGAGTCTCCCTGCCTGCTCTTAGTAGCAATATTATAGAAACAGAGGAAAGAAAGGTTGGAGTTACTTAAACTTTCAGTCATTTGTTTGCATCTAAAGTACCTAATAGGGCAAGGTATGGTGGCTCATGCCTATAATTCCAGTACTTTGGTATGCCAAGATGAGAGGATTGCTTGAGCCCAGGAGTTTGAGACCAGCCTAGGCAACATAGTGAGACCTTGTCTCTACAAAAAACATTTTTAAAAATGTACCTGGTTGTGATGGCATGTGCCTGTAGTCCTAGCTACTCAGAAGGCTGAGGGGGGAGAATCACTTGAGTCCAGGAGGTGAGGGCTGTAGTGAGCCATAATTGTGCCACTGCACTACAGCCTGGGTGAGAGTGAGACACCAATTCAAAAATAAATAAGTGCCTCATTGGTGTAAACTCTGCCTGTATTAGATACAACAGTCTCCCACTTTAAGCCATGTCTATTCTTTTGCAAGCTGGTTAACCCTGAGCCTGCATTTTCTCATCTGGAAAATGGACATTGGGATGGGCATTACCTCACTGGGATGTTAAGGGGAACCTGACACATTATTAGCACTTTGCAAATGTTAGTTTTCATTAACATCATCATTATAATTATTACTAAAATAGATAAATATGTTGTTCCATACTCCTCAAAGGAGTAAAAGGGAAAATATTTCCCACTGACAAAGTTTTTTCTTCTGAAAACTAGACCTTCCTAGAGGTACTTCCATTCTCATTTAATCTGCCACTTCCTCATGTAAGAAGAGAAAGTAAGTGATATAACTCCATGTCCCTTCTTGCATTTTCTTGAGCAGAACCTCCAGTTCCCCAGCACGATGGGGTCACCAAGCTGCAGAAAAGGGAACAGCTTCAGCATGGCCATCTCTGGGACTTCAAGGAGACTCAGAACACTCCCTGTGCAGGCGAGAAATGGGTGGAAGCCAGTATTTCAGCAACAAGGTCAGCTCTGGAATTCCATACCTGGACAGGCCTGCACTAGGCACAGACTAGAAGAGGAACCCAGGCTCTTAGCATTCCCAATTTATTGTTCTGTGGTGCTGAATGCACAGGAGTTGAGAAAAGAGCAGAGGAGTGGGTGGCACCCAGGAAGGTCTGTTCCCCTAAGTTTGAACCTTAGTTACCTTTAAAAAGGATATAACTGAATTATGACTATTTATGATTTTCCCCTTAAATTTCTATCTGAATTTTAACTACAACTAATTATTACTTAACAAGATTAATAGAAAAAGTGAGCATGGAAAACTCCAAATTGAAACTGTAGTAAATCTTAGGTTATTGGAAGCATGTTTAGATGAGCTCCCCTCCCTGGTGAGCTGTCATTTTGTTGGAATTTTAGGGGATCTGATAAACAGTATTCTTCTTCCCCTGCCCAGATTTCAGACCAACTGAGAGAGACAGAGACATAAGTGTTAGACGGTGAGATCAAAATGGCAGGTTTATAACTGGTAGGGAGGGCTGTTGAACATGACTTCGGTATGTGACCACAGTGGGCTTCCTAATACTGAACCCAATAATTGAGCAGATTGACCCACCCAGTCATCACAGGCAGCCCTTGGACAAACCTGCAGGGACAGAGCCTTTAAACCTTATATTTTCAGCTCCTCATTAATCTAAGAAGTCATTTCTCCCACTTATTGGTAAGGGGATAGAGAAAGGCTAGGAGAGTTACTCTATGGAATGTCACACTACCTGAGGGCAGCATCAGGAAGAAAAAAGGAGGCCATTTAGTGTTAATTGCCAGTCCATAAGGGGTGGGCAGAGAGGAGAGACTGAGTGTGGGACAGAGCCTCTGAGGAAAGTTGAGCCACTCTGACTGAAGAGGAGTGGCCTAGAGCCTGCCTTCTACCTTCCCAGACTTTCTGTATATGACCTTTTGTTTAGGAGCTGGAGATGTGCTGGTCTTAACTGTGGGTCAGCCACATTCCAATAAATTTGTTCCTGGCTCGTGAAAAGTTGACTATGTCCTATCTGTCACCATAAATAACTTGTTTTTAAGCATCCAGTGAGGACCTCTTTCACATAGTTTCCATTCGTCTGAATTCAGAAAATAGGTTACGTTTGAGTTTCATTTCATTCTTTCAGATCTTGAAATAAGGACTGAAAACGGGGAGAATTCAAGCCAGAACGTATCAGAGGAAGAAGAACTACTTGGGCATTATTAGAAAGATCCAAAATGGATGTTTCCCAATACCTTAATTGGACGAAAGACTGGGAAAATGGATATGGGGCAGAAAAGCAATGGGAAATAGCACTAAAAGATGATCAAGAGTACTCTCTCCTCCAGAAAGAGACTTAGGTAAATTCATAGGTCCTCACGCAACCTATGTAGGAGAAAAACCCAGTATGTGCTCTGAGTGTGGAAAAAACTTCAGCCAGAGCTCACTTAACTGTCCACAGAGTAGCCCACATTGGAGAAAAGAAACTTTATAAATGTGGCCACTGTGGGAAAAATTTTGGCAGAACCTCACACCTGGTGTTCCATCAAAGAATCCATACTGGGGAGAAGCCCTACAAATGCCTTGAATGTGGGAAAGGCTTCAGTGATCATTCTAACCTCACAGCACACCAGAGAATCCACACAGGGGAAAAGCCCTATAAATGTGGAGAGTGGTGGAAAAGCTTCAACCAGAGCTCAAGCCTTATTATGCACCAGAGAATACATACAGGAGAGAAACCCCATAAGTGTAGTGAGTGTGGAGAAAGTTTCATCAATAGCTTGCACTTCAGTGCACACTGGGGAACACACACTAGTGAAAAACCCTATCAGTGCCCAGAGTGTGGGAAAAGCTTCAGTGACCGCTCAAATCTCATTACCCACTGGCAAATTCACACTGGAGAGAGACTCTGTACGTGCGGGGAGTGTGAGAAAAGCTTGTCAGTGCTCAAGTCTCATTGTACACCAGAGAATTCACATAGGGAAAAAGCTCTATGAATGCAGTGAATGTGGGAGGCGATTCAGTAATAGTTCACATTTTAGTGCACATCAGAGAACCCATGCGGGAGAGAGACTCTAAAGGTTCCCCAAATGTAAGAGAAATGTCTTTAAAGCATCAAGTGTGAAGACACTAGAGAATCTATCCCAGAAAAGGTTTGTCTTGCCCTTAATTCTTCACCACAGGAGATGGGGAGAGAGCATTTAGATCCTAGCCCAACAGACCTTATTTTGTTTCTCACTAAATGCTCAGTTGGCTTATGAAATCCTCTCAGGGCTTCCTTATCCATGTGTTGAAATAGAAGCCAATTTCCAGAGCATTCAGAGACTAATTCTGAATTTGACTATTTCACCCTCTCAGTGTGTCTTCACTGTGAGTCTGTCCTTATTAATTTTCACAGCTTGGTAATAGGGTGTGATTCTTAGAGATCTTTCAAGGATGGAAAAGGCTCTGCCCTCTTGCACTCGTGGCATTGAAAGATGGCTGGGTCAACCATGGAGGCAGCAATGTCTGGGGTGTTTCTCCTAAGCACTGGCAGCTAGCTAAGGGCTTATTAGCTAAATAAATTTTTTTTTTTTTTTTTTTGAGTTGGAGTCTCACTCAGTCGCCCAGACTGGAGTGCAGTGGCTGCTCCCAGCCACCGCAGCCTCGACCTGCTGGGCTCCGGCGATCCTTCCGCCTCAGCCTTCCGAGTAGCCAGAATTACAGGCACGCGCTACCACGCCCGGCTGATTTTTTTTTTTTTATTTACTGTAGAGATGAGGTCTCGCTGCCCAGGCGGGTCTCGAACCCGCGGGCTCAGGCAATCCACTCACCTCAGCCTCCCAAAGGCGCGGGATTACAGGCTGAGCCACCGAGCCCGGCTAGCTAAATAAATTTTAAAGGTCTTCCATTGTTCTCCCACTGGGGCTCAGAACATTTTCTACATTTTCCCAAATTCTTTTTTTGAGGATCTACATGGAGTTATTTGAGTATAATAGAATATAATATACTCTATTATATTATTTGAAAGAGGGAAAAGCAGAAGAGTACAGCACTAGAGGCTGGTTTTCTAAACCATAACCTACTCCTCCTGTCAACACACTGGGTTGAACCATACAAGATTGACATGTTTGATCTACAAAACCAGCAATTTAATGATTTGACCTAAATGGAATTTCTGTGTGACAGAATTCCTCCAAATCACCAGCTCATACTGTATTCTGAAAATGTGAGGCTGGGTCTGTAAACTGTGAGTCAGGACAGTGAAGTGGGCAAAGCTTTTTCTGTGTGTGAACATGTCTACAGCAAGAGTCATGGCATTCAGAAGTCTCCTATTTGGAGGATTGCCTCTCTATCACCAGCCTCTGATGAGCCCACTCATTCCTGTCTATACTCAGGTCTCCTCAGGGTTGGGGTCTCCAGGTCCTGCAGGGGAGGCCATGTGCAGGCCAGCAGGTCAGAAACCCATTAATTATAAAATAAAGCATAGTCTATACACAGTATGATTGTACCTAATTAGATTTATAAAATGATTAAGTCATGAGTCTTTTTTTAAAAAACACAAAAGAACCAAATAAATGTAGTAGTCATTTGATGGGCTGTGGACTTTATTATATGTTGCCATTATTCAAGACTTTCTTGCTTTTTTTTAAAGTCATTTCTTTATTTCAAAATACTTTATTCAAGACATTCTTGTTTTTCTTTAAGGATTGTCTTCAAAATACCTTAGATGGCCTCACATTTATATATTTCCATGTGGTTAGTGTCTTGGATGTGGGAAGGGCTTAATAAATGCTGACAGAAGGAGCATCTTGTTTATGTAGCCTGGGCATCTATCTTATCCCCGAAGCTGGCTCTGCCCAATTTCCTCTTTCCAAAAATAGAAACCCTTCAAAGGATGTCACTTTGCTGCCATTGAAGAGACTTTTCTTTTTTTGAGTTGGAGTCTCACTCTGTTGCCCAGACTGGAATGCAGTGGCTGCTCCAGGCCACCGCAGCCACGACCTGCTGGGCTCCAGCAATCCTTCCGCCTCAGCCTTCCAAGTAGCTGGAACTACAGGTGCGCGCTACCACGCCCGGCTGATTTTTGATTTATTGTAGAGATGAGGTCTCGCCAAGTTGCCCAGGCGGGTCTTGAACCCACAGGCTCAGGCAATCCACTCACCTCAGCCTCCCAAAGGTGCGGAATCACAGGCTGAGCCACTGAGCCTGGCTGGAGACTTTTCTAAGAGCCTGTTGTTGGAGGCAGTTTTCAAAGTATTCCAGAAGTTTGAGTTGAGAATTTTTTTGCAAGGTCAGGAAATAAATCTGATAGGGATTGTTTTAAACTATTTCACTTTTTGACTGAGAAATTATTTAGATGAAAATTCATCTTAATAATAACTGAGGTGGTTCTGCAGTATAAAGAGACATTGGAAATAACCAGACTACCTTTCAGTGTCTTTTGCCATCACACTTTGGAATGGAACAAGATTCAAATATAATATTTTTTTTTTTTTTTT